TGAGTTATGGATAACATATATTGTAAATTAATCGGTAGGTATGCAATCAGATCAGAGACATGAAATATGGTAATTTTGAGATTTTTTTTGTAATAAATATGTGGCAAGTATGTTTCAATCATTACATAAGTTAACAATGGTAATCTTGATTTACCGTATTATATTATCATTTTCATTAATCAATTATTAAGGTTGTACAATCGTCTTAGTTACAAAATTATATACTATTTCACATAAAATGCAATAATTATACAGCACCTCTACCTCATCACTATGGGGATAAGTTTACATGTTATACAAAATAATATGGAAAAAGTGCATGATCACTACTGTGAATTTAGCAAGTCAATAAGGTAGGGAACTGGACTGTAACGAAATCGTTTGGTTTTACATTTTAACTGTTCTCTGGTATTTGATGTGCGTAGGCTTCTAATGTTCTTACAAGGAGGTATGAGGTAAGATACCTTCTCGTTTGATATCAGTTTCTCTGCAAAACTAAAACACACTTCCTTCCTTCTGTCAGCCAAAGAAGACAGATTTATTAGATTCAGTGCTGTCTCATATGACTGGTAATTAGGTCCCAAGATTATTTTCAGAGTTCTTTTCTGCACCCTTTCTAGTCGATCTACTTGTTCTTTAGTTAGGCCTCCATTCCACACCGGCGAGGTATACTCTACGAGGGGTCTGAGGAAACCAGTGTAGATGGTACAGAGGTCTTCGATCGGCAGTCCGTGACCTTTCAGGATCCTAATGAGGTGTATTCTTCCATTTGCACGTTTTATCATGAAATCCACATGTTCACTCCATTTTAAATCACAGCGGATATGGACTCCTAACAATGTGACAGACGTGGATTGCTTTAGAGGATGCTGATCAATTTCCAGGTGACATAGAGGTAACATTACTTCTTAGGAGTACTTTGCATTATATTCATGTCCATAAAGCTCACTTCGAAATTTTACTTTTAATTTTCGAAAGATCTTTTTTTTCCTTCAGAACCAAACAGATAATCATGTCGACAAGTTCGATTACGCTCAAATCTTACCTTAAATCCCTTCAAAAGTGTTGGGAGCCACAACATATTTTGATGGTAAACTTTTACTTGAATTATATGATGATGTGAAAGAGGATGTCTTTTAACATACGTATCTACAAGAATTTTTTAACAAATATGTTTGAAGACGAATATTGATGAGAAAATACAAGTATCTTGGATCTCTGCGTACAACAAAAACATAAAGTTTTGTATACTTTCATCAAATATTGGCCTTAAAATGTATGTATTTTGAAAATCCTTGCAGGAGTGTTTGTTAAATGACATCCTTTTTCACATGTTTAACAGATTTAAGTGAAATTTTGCCAACACTTTATACAGGGCATTAATTCTCCCATATTTGTGTGCTTCCTTTACCTACTATATATTACAAGATCTCTTTCTATCCCCACCCACACACATGCACGCAAACCCTCACGCCCAGACCCCTAGACACACACACACACACAAACACACCCTCATACACACACGCACACGCACACACACGCCCACACACTTACACTCTCTTTACCTTTTTTCCTTTTATCTTTTTTCTTTTGTCTCTTGCTGTTCATATTGACGAAGGGATGATTCGTTTCGCTTTTCTGCTGGACAACTGTGATGATGATGATAATGGTGTGACGATGATGAAGTAAAAAAGACAACTGTAACAGTCTTCTCTTCGGCGTTCCGGACAAAGACATTTCCAAACTCCAACGAATTCAGAACTCTGCCGCCCGTCTTGTATCTATGTCAAGTAAATACAATCACATCACTCCCATCTTAAAGGAGCTCCATTGATTACCTATTCCCGCACGCATCCACTACAAAGTTATCCTGCTCACATTTAAAGCAATCCATGGCCTTGCTCCTACTTACCTATCCGAGTTGATAGCCCAATTTCTACCAACCAGATCACTCAGATCTGCCTCGCAAAATCTGCTAGTAGTAAATAGAAGCAGAACCAAAACTTTCGGTGACAGGTCGTTTGAATGTGCTGCACCAACCCTTTGGAACTCTCTTCCTAGCACTCTACGTGCTCAATCAGACATAGACATGTTCCAGAAAGAGCTCAATACATATTTGTTTAACATTTCCTTTTAATTTTGTACTGGTTCCAAAGGGTTGGTGAAGCACATACCATCTTTGTGACTGACTGAATGCTGATGTTTATTTATCTATTCATATTTATATTGTTGTATTGGGCCTTCCTCACCTTTATAATCATTTTCAAATATTACATGTATCACCTTTAATAGAAGCTACTTTCGATTTTCCTTATGTATAACGTATGCCTACTTGTAAGTTTTGATTATAATTATATGTAATTATTTCTATATATGTCTTTATTTCTATTGTCTTCTACATTTGTAAAGCGCATTGGTATTACCTTCGGTAATTAAATGCGCTATATAAGAGTTAACTATTATTATTATTATTATTTTCTTCAATACACATAGCTCTTGTCTAACTCTTGCACCACCACTTCATCTCTCTCTCTCCCTCTCTTCTCTCTCAATGGGTGATTTGCGTCCCCGTTTCCTTTTTCTTTAATGCTCCTATCTCTCGCCCAAAGTCTTTTTTACTTCATCATCGTCACACCATTATCATCATCATCATCACTATCTCCATCATCATCATCTTATTCTTGTTCATTCCATCTCTCTTTCTTAATCTCCTTCTCTGTCTACCCTCTGTCAACATGTTTTATTTCTCCTCTTTTTTAAATCTATAACTGTTCTCTTTTTAATCGAATAGTTACATATCTTGATCTGTTAAAAGATCACGTGGTTGATATTTACATTTAACTGAACAATGGCGAATTTAGAACCTATAGGTCATCGAATTTGGAGGTGTACAAATAATCATCGTTCAAACTCCAAACGAGTTTAACATATCAACCTGGCAAGATGACAAATGTGTTCATCTTAGTCGGGTAGGGGGCAGTGGTATCTTAATCACAGTTATCTATTAACGTTTTTTCTTCATGAAGTTGAATATTGGTTATTTATTTATTTCATATTAAGTACATTTCCCAGATGAGGTCATAGTTTACATTTTCTTGCTGCCACTTTTCGCGAACATCCTATTGTATCTCGTTTTGCTATGCATGCTGTAGCTTTTGAAGAACTATAATCATAACAAAGTTAAAAGGAAAGGATAATATTCATCCAGACTCTTAATGATGTTTAAATGAATAAATTGATATGGATGAAAAGGATAAACTTTTTCTACTCTAACCTTTCAAAATGACCATGACCTTTCACTTTGCTGCAATAAAACATAATGCATAGACAGGTCATAAAGTCGAGATAAATCTTTATTTAAGTTATTCCATTAACCATTCATATCACGTCTTTTCTTATTACAAAGATGCTTATGACTTTTTACATTTAAGCGGATCTAGCTGATATCTTTTAGGCAGCAAGTAAGGAATCAATTGATTATGTTTTCTATGAATAAACATTGATTCAAATGTAATTTATGGTACAATGATTATAATTTGTAATCGATATAATATACGTTCATAAATGTTTCCAGATATAAAACCTTCAAACATAGACATGATATAATATGATAGATAGAATAGAAATATAAAGCATTACAACATTAAGTATTTAAATACATGTAAAGCCTTTGTTTTTAAATTATAACAGGTAAGGATATATCGAGCAGCGATACCTACAGTTTATCTTAAAATGTAGGCATAGAGAATGGTATTACTAATAATATATATGCGTAAAGTAAAAGTAGTGAATTTATACGAGGCAAACAAATACACGTATATACACAATTTAACAAAATATTTGAAGAAATAGATATTGTTGTTAAACACGCCTTACCCATTTCATTTACACTAACTATTAATTTTAAAAAGTACTAAAATAGCTGGCCTTTATTATTTTTTTTGTAATTTTTTGTATTTTATTGATAATTTCAATGTGGCAAAATCTTTAATTAAAAATTGAAATAATGTAAATTAATAATATTCCCCCAAATGGGACATCAAGTAAAGATTCGTGTCATTCCTTTAATTAATTGGGGTACTTAACTATTTGCAATACAATGTAGTAATAACATCGACGTTGGCGTACGCGTAGAAAGGTAAGCGTCAAGTACAGTTATCTCTGTTTTCCGGGGGGGTTGAAGCTTTATGTATTCGCTATATGCTACATTAAACACGTACTTTTTTGTTCTCTTCCGTAGTTATGACATCACAGTTTATGTATGCAGTGGTCAGTGTAATGGTCACTCCCAAAAATGGATTTTCTTAACACGTTTCTTCATGTTTAAGGTACAAGTTTGATAACTAAGTTAATGTATTGATCCAATTACATGTTTCCATACATCATATTTATGAATGAAAATCTTTATTGCTATCGACACAGTAATCACTAATTTAACATTTTATACATTTTTCGATCCAAGACGTTGTCTCATATATGCACAATTATTAACATGTAAAATAAAATATTCATATCAATGCAATATCTAGTACAGTTCTTGTACCATTCTACTGCAGTTGATTTATGTTCATGTCCTCACCTTCGTTTTATAGACAAGATAATCGCATAACATTGTGTATACAAACATCTTAAAGGGAAAATGGGCCCTGTCCTCCCTTTTTTTTCCTTATACCCCAAAAGGATGTCTTAAAACTGGTAAAAGTCACAGTCGCTTAAAGGGATAGTTGAGTTCTGTTTTCAGACCACAAATGCCCAAAAAAAAAACCTACATGTGCATTGGCTGAAATACTACGTACAAGGCGTTATTTCGTTTTTTCAAAAGTTTATTCAATTTTTTTCAAAATATTTAATATTTGTGGTGGTACACAAGTATTAGAATTCGTTATATTTCAGCCATCTCTGAACCGATTTTGATCAAACAAGGATGATTTTGTCATTTAAATATTATCTTCTTTCAAATTTGACACTCAGTTTTTCATTATCTCACAAAAAAATGATTTTGTGTAGCGCCCTCTGCAACAGAACTCAACTATCCCTTTAATACGATCACATCCCGCGAATCATGCCAAATCGAATCCCACCAGCACTCCAATATTCCATGGGTGCGAAAGGTGTGAATGGGGGTCTATGTGCGTGTGTGTGTGTGTGTGTGTGTGTGTGTGTGTGTGCGTGTGTGTGTGTAGGTGGGCTGGGTGGGAGTTCCTTTTTTTCACTTGGAGAGCGCCGAGGTTGACCCACCCATTCAAATAATTGCTCCCATTTGAAATTGTATTAAACTTGAACTAAGGATTGGATATGCACATATATGTGAACAACGCCATTAGAGGGAGGATAACAGCGTGCCAATCAGCATTCCGAATACACCCAGAATATGGTGTGATTTCAAGGGAAGGTTGTTTCTTTTCTTCTTCCACAGACAAGGGTTTTGTTGTTTGTACAATTTTAGTCGGTATCTTATCTCCTGGTGAGATGGGGCTATTTGTTGGTTCGATTCGGGGATGTCTGTATTGGTCACATGACGTTTGGGTAATAGTACCCATTTCCGTGATATCATGAGAACAACAGAACACAGGTATATCTATATCCATGAGCCAAAATATTCGTCTATATACAATTTGTGTATCACCGCCATCTTTTTGATATGGTATTTTGTCGTCGTTTTGAAAGCAAGTGAGGGTTGAATCACCACTTCCCGGTTTTGAATGACAGTGCACCTCGTAAAAATTCTCCATACTTTCACTGGGCGTTAAAAAGCAAACTGCTGGACTGGGAGGGATAAATATAAGGACATGTTTTTTCATTGAATGATTCTCGTTTGTCTCCCCTTGGATAATGAGGACAACAATGTATGTCCCCTGATCTTCGACGGACACAGAGGCTATGTTGATTTCGACGGACATGGCACTACCCTGTTCAAAATACTGAACACTAAATCTTTCGGCCTGATCGGGCGACGTCAGTCCTTCTGGGTCGAAAATTCCATTTATGTAAAATGGGCGGTCTTTCTCCTCGAACTTGACAGTGTAGTACTTGGTTGCAAACTGCTGTTCGTTCCTGCATGCAAACGGAATGATCCCGTTTTCTCCTGCTGTAAGTGTCAAGTGCTGTCCCCCTCCGGTGATATGGTTTGCTCCGACTGGTGATGCTAACAATAACGTCCTTACAGTTTCTAGTACAACTATAACGTGTATCATGTAAAGCAAACCCGCAACAAAGGATTTGTCCTGTGTGAAAGAAAAGATGTGAGAGGAGTTATTATGTGCTTAGAATAATCAATGGACACAAAGTAAATAGTTTAAAGCTCAATATTGATAACTGTTGATAGCACTGTCAATAGTAGATAAGTAGTAAATGAAATGTTTTGTGGTTAATTTTAAATAATGTAACCAGGTACTTTTAGATAATATCAATGCATTCCTTTTGTGACCTGACATTGTGATTTGTACATTAGAAGGACAGAATACATAGTTTAAACTGATTATTGGGGAATGCAAAGGCACACCAAAGTGGCTAACGGTGATGTAAATCGATTGTAATAAACTTATACTTCAACCAAACTAACTGGTTTGAAAAAGGTATTTTAGGATAGTTTTCTTTTTCTTCTCATCAGTTTTCGAAACGGGAATACACATGTATTTGACTTTGGTCTGTTTGTGCATATAGAACTGAGCATGTACTTGAACGGGTACTTATGATTAAGCTATGTTATAAAACAGATGATTTGGGAATACCTGCATTATTCTTATAATTATAATTACAATTACAGTCATCATAGGCATATTTCTTAAAATTCTGACCGGTGCCTTTTTGATATGTTTTTGTAGTTTTCTGACACAAAATGATGAAGCAAAAGAGCAATACAGTTGGGTAAAACAAGTACAAAAAAATCTTACATCGGGACTGCAAAGTAGTATAGGCTCTTGTTTATCGTCCACATATGTACCTCCTTCTTTCTCCTGTCGAGGGTAGCATCCCGACTATGAAATACAAGTTCGCGAAGATAGATATATCAATATAGTCTTCCCCGCATTGTGATTTTATATTATACTTTAATCAACCTCTTCTCTTAAAACAACTCATGATATTCACTTGTCGTGAAAGTTCACGCATTAAAAAAGAGTAAAATATTAAATATTTGTTATGAACTTTATATGTACAAATTGATTGTAGGTAACAACAAGGTAAATTGTACAACATGTAAATGTATTCTCTTTAGATTTTTTCTTCAAAAGAACTTTCAAAAACTGTCACATTCAATGCCTAAGATGAGCACGACAGTAGTTCGGTCAAATTAAAAAAACTTACCGTGAATTGGAAGTGAGGAGTAGAGAGCTCGAAATAGTAGCCTCCTTCTTTCAGGGATCCGTTCTCTATATCTTCAAACGCTTTTTTCACCGCGACAAGCATCTGTTTGATAAAACAAAGAAACAAGCCTCGTGTTTTTTTTTAATTGAATGTTAAAACACTGTGTTTAAAAAAGTAAGCCTAAATAGAGAAACTTTACTGTTTAATAATAACAACTAAATTTACTAAGGCGACATTCTTGGAATAAAATTATCAATTTTGCAGTAAGAATCCGAAAGGAACAAGTTTCCTAACAACAAACAAGGATGTATGCTTAACGAGAATTATAAGGGGCTAGTATCAGCCGCCACCCTCCTTTAACGATGACTGAAACAAAGTTTTTAAAAATGACTGATTAGAAAATGTGGGATTTACCTCAACACTAAATTCTGGCTCGTACGATGAACTCCTCCTGGCACGTCTATTACAGCTTCCAGCCTATCAAAAGTAAAGAATAATGACATAAAAATTGTTTTAAAAATGTCCAAAGCAATCAAACAGGATTCCTAATCATAACAAATTGAGGAAGAAATTTGTTTATCGGATGGGTTTGAGACATGTAATCATTAAACCTGACCAGGATAACAGGCCTGCAATACAACTACATGTATTAGTTCGGTGGCTGGCGTGCGTATTAAGCATTGGGTGTGAGAAAAATATCTTACCTTAGTTAATGCATGAAAATTGTTCTATGAAAATGATGTTAAAACATACATGTAGTATAAATTATTTAAATGTTTTTGTGAAGAAAAAAACTCTCTCCCCTCCTGCGGTCATATCAATTTCATCAATTTCAGAAATAAATATTAAATACCAATCGATTGTATTAAACAAAAGTACTGTATAAGCCCATGATTGCATTCAATACCAAAAACAAGCTTTACTACTCCTGTCAATTAGGAGGGGGAAAAGCACTTAATTATTGGAACTGTGAATAAAATGAAAACAGTTACCTGCTTATTATATTTTGCAGTGGTGAACTTGAATTGGTAGTCACTTGTAGTGACAGATCCATCCTTTACAGCGCTGTAAATGGATTCCACTGCCCACAGCATCTCCTGAAGCCAGGACAACAAAATATTAAACAGGATATGGGGTAACTCCAGTATTAAAGCTTAAGTAACTTAAGTAAGCTCCGACGCCGATGCCTTCGCGTCGGCGTCGGAGCTTCCTGGAGTTAGATATGGGGACGGTTTCCTCACAAAGTTTTATTAGCAGCTTCGAGAGAATTTCATTCATTATTTTTCAATAATAATTTATGCCTCATTTTTCTGTAGTTCACCCTTTTGTTTTTCTTCCTATTCACATGATAATTTGTGATTGTAATTGTAATGATAAGGTTTTTTGATAAACATACAAATTCGCAGCTAAAAGTGACACATCCTGAATTTACAAATAACACTACAACTTTTAAAATACATGCAAATAAAAAAAAAAATACAATGTAAAATAGGCAAATACGAAATTAATACATTCAGTAATTCAATTGATATGGTCAAAAGAATAAATAGAAAAAGAAAAGAGAAAGAAGAAAAAGAAGGAGGAGGATAATACAAAGAGAAAATAGTGAAAAAAAAAAATGTGGTTGATAGTAAAGGGAGAGTTTACAACTGATATTTATAACACCAGTAATAAAACGCAATATACAATAAGAATTCCAATAATGAAACTGTTTCTGACCAGTATAGCATCATGTAGATAACATTTTATTAATGCAGTAGCGTTATCAATAAAAACAAAAACATTAAAAGGATTTATATTTACAGTGTATAAAGACAGGCTGCTATATTATAACTTTACATATTGTTAAAAATAGTGGTTCTATGCAAGTATTTCAAATTAATATGTCTTAAAAACATGGTTGAACCGTCAATTGAAAGCGAAACGTTAAGAAGTGCAAACTATAGTTTATATTATAAGGTTCAACAATAAGAATTCAGTTAAAAAAAATAAGAAGGTTTTCTTGGCAAGGTGATAGATGTTCATTAGATTTTATTGTCAGGGTCATTTGAATGTGAGGGAAGGCATGTAAATGAAACATTCCTAAATTAACTTCGTGCTGGAGGTATTCGAATAAAGTGAATACTCTTAATTCATTTTGAAATAAGCTGCAACAGCTTAAACCTTTAAGGAGTCAAACTGTTACGCAGATTTGCACTGGCTCAGATCAAATAAAAAATAATTGAATGTGATTTTGATGCAATAGTATTGTTAATATGATATTCATTATTCGGTCACATTTGTTTCTTTACATTTTTTGTTGTTCTATTTTCCTTCCTATCGTTTTTTGTGTGCAAAAGGAGGTTCATTATTAAACTTACTTGTATATCACCGTTATTTTCATTATTACCGCCACAATCTTGTTTTGTAAAGAGTCCATTGTGAACAAGTTCATTTCGCCCACACAATTTGCACAAAATCTGCCTATTCATTTCCCACTAAAGTGTCCTATTTGAAGTAACCATTATTTAATGACAAAACATGACAGTATGGGCATAATAAAACTAAACATTAACAGTCTGTTATTTTCATAAATGACACTTACCCTCTTTCCGACAGATTCATAGCCAGATTCGTCATCGTGTGTGGTATCTGGTTCCGGTTGTCTCCCCATATTGCCCTTTTTAAAAGTAATGAAAAAACAAAATTTCAAAAAATAATGCCGGGTTTAAAAGAGCAAAAAGTGTTTCAGAGAATAATCAAGACGTTGGTGTCATACTGATCACCATGATAAGTAGATATCGAACAATAAGGGATTTGGGGGTTAATTTTGAGAATGTGTCACTATTTCGCGCGTTCTTGCCTTTAAGATTAAACTTACAAACGATTTAAAAACCTGCTATATCTAGACACATTAGAAGCATAATACTTGTCTTCGTCAGAAATGTCAAAAGGAGCAAATCTCCTCCTGCCCCTCCGTCATAATATGATAGTTATCATGATGATCGTGATCATGTCGTCTGTTTTGTTCCTTTGCAGATATCGAACAGAAATTGCAAGCCAGGAAAAAGAAACCAACCCAAGCAGATTTGTTCAAAGTGAAAAAATGAAGGAAGTTAGATCATACACAAAGATGCTTCAACGAATTTAAGCCAAGTTGATATAACATTATGTGTATGAATTACACTACAACATTGATTTATTTCATTCAAATTGAAACCTATTTCAAATATATATAACAATTAAGTTATATTAAAATATTTACCTTCTTTGTTATTGTTTTAAAGCTTGGGATACCAAACGAATTTTCTGGTTGATGCAGGGTACCTATCATTGAGGTGAACAATCCAAAGGGTTAACATTTAGTATTATGTTGCATTATTAAACAAAAATCCATGGCCGCTGCCGGCCCTGATGTCAGCACCAATGTCGTCACAATAAAGATAAACAATGATGTGAACATGTGACGTAAAGCTTGGAATTCAATTGGTTTCCGCTATCCTTCCAGGCAATTGTATGCAAATTTCCTGAGGTCAAGAGACTAACACCTGATTGGGTCTTTGGCGACTCCTCTTGAATCTGATGAAAATTTATCATTTCTTGAGTAGCGGCAGTCAATAATGATTATTCTAGTGGCCTTATAAAAAAAAATAGTGAGCGCAATCACATATTTTCCATGATATCGTTTTTTCTTCTCAAAATGAAATCTAGTGGCCTTATAAAAAAAAAATAGTGAGCGCAATCACATATTTTCCGTGATATCGTTTTTTCTTCTCAAAATGAAATCTAGTGGCCTTATAAAAAAAAAATAGTGAGCGCAATCACATATTTTCCGTGATATCGTTTTTTCTTCTTTAAAAATGAAATTTCTACAGGCACCAACTGAATTATGCATACCTTTGTATAAGTCTGGCGTGTTTTTTCCCATTTTTTTTTCAAAACTAAATAGTGAAAGCTAAACTGGTTGAATAAGGGCCGTTGTTGAACACCTTTTGATGTAAGACTTTAAAATATCGCATTATCAAGAAAACATGAAACGGGACTTGTCAATTTTATAACTTTATTAAAAATTACAAAACATGGGTATGCATAATTTAATTGTTAGCTGTATAAACAGCGACTACCTCTATTTCTCGAATGAAGGTAAAAATGCGAAATCTGTATACCGTTACTTCTAATATTCTCCTTCTTTCTCTCGCTTTACTCCCATTTGTTCTCTCTCTCTCTCTCTCTCTCTCTCTTTCTCTATCTCCCTCTGGTTTCCTCTCATTTTCCTTCTCTTTCTCACGATCTTCTCTCGTTTTATCTATCAGTTTCGTCTTTCTCTTACTCTTCCTCACTCCCTCCTCCTCTCTCTTAAATTATTGTGGTACCGGTGATTGTTTATCCTTCTTCTCTCCCCTTAAATTACCGCATTCAGAGTCATTTTGCCTAATATTTTATTTCCTATTAAGTAAAGCCCAACATCAATGCGTGTGATACAGGAATAACTCCGTTTATCCTTTTATGCCCGGTGATTTCAGTAAAACACTCCATTAGAGTCAACAGAGATAAATTATGCATTACTATACAGCTTTCTGAAACACTTAGATATATCCTTCATAATCATAAGATTAATTGAACGATGAAAACTGGTAAAAAATACTCACTTTTCTTTTGCAGAGGTTTAACGTATGACTTGCAGAGGCTAGTCGGATGCGTGTTATGCTTGTCGCTGTGATTTGGTATTTTATTTTATAGTTATGGTTTTAGAGGTAGTGCGCAAAATAAATATTTGACGCCCCTTTTGGGACCACGTGACAAAATTAATGGCACGGATTGGTTTATTGCTCCATTTACACTCGTCATAATCTTTATATGTAATTTTAGTAAAGGGGAATCCCCGGCATGTTTCTTTTTCTTGTCTTTCTTTCATTAAAAATAAAATTTCGTCATCATTATCAATCCCCATTGTTCCTCGACTCCTTCAGTCTGTCCTCTCCTGTCGGCCTCAAACCCAGTCTCTCTCTCTCTCTATCTCTCTTTTCTCTTTAGCTTATCATCATCACCATCTTCCTCATCATCACCATCGTCAACATCATCGTCGTCATCGTTATCATCTTTTTCGCGCACAGTGTACTCTCCGCTTCAGTTTAAGACTATGGTTGTATAGCGTTCTTCAATTTCGTATTTGTTGTAGTCTGCTTTCTGTTACATGTTTTCAGTCCATTTGCCCTTATCCTTGTCGTTCTTCATCTGTGATATGTACCTGCAAGTGTACATTATCAGTTCTGGCATCATTATAGCTATGAATCTTATGGCGCCCACTCGTGAATTTCAATGGTTGATGTTCAATGTCCGTGTATATTCATCTATTTACACAGTAATAAATCATCATGGTTTTAATACTACATAACTGTTTGAAGGCCTACTTACCTTTTTTCATCACGTTTATTTTGTTTATAATGCTATTTGCATGTGCATTGCAATAATCATCCGAATCGTGAGGACTATTAGTCATTGTAATATTTTTACATATTTTTTAAAAGCATTATTTAGTGAATAGTTACTACGATGGATCGTCATTTCATTAACATATGTGCGTATATAACAGGCTCAATTGTCTGAATTTTGTTACAAGAATTTCGAAATTCAGTCATCTAAAGGAAGATCTATCGTTAAATAGCCATTTTGTTTCAGTTTCAGTTTCAGTTTTATTTTTCATTTTCAACGGACAGCAATTTTGACAAGAAATCAGATATACAATTCAATATTCAATAATATAATACATTATACATGGTTTAGTGTTATGAAACAGAAAGTATAAATAAATATCCAGTATAATGTTTTTTTTTAAAGTTGGTTTCATAATTCCTCTTTTTAGCCTGATAGCGACTGTAATCGACAATAAGGTATATATAGACAAATCGTTATCTTACTTGGCTCCGTCTCAACGTCGTCTAAAATGCAATTCTTACTTTTATTAATTTCTGAGATTATGTCGATAACCTGAATACACAAATACATATCTACACTATGTGTAATGTCAACAATATTTCCGTTTGTTTGCTATCAATAATCAGTATGGTAAGTACAATGTACATGTATGAACAGTGTTCATGCATCCAGTGAATACCAGGGTCTGCACGTAGGCATGCAGCTATATGGAGGGAGGGGGAAGTTTGTTAATTCTTTCATGTAACAACAAGAAAAAGAATCATCAAATGTTTCATGTACATTACCAACATCAATATTTCGAACCCAAATGATAAAATAATAAGAGATCCCAATAACGAATTGCTTTAAAGCTCTTATGCTGAGAAGGAGGGCGATTCCGTCTTTTACCTTTTATGCATTTATTTCATCCAAAAAAGAATGTGGTTGCAAGGAATCACCAACTGTTTCACTAAACTGGCATTGACTTCATTCTTCCATATTAAAGTCGATCCACAACATTATCATTCAATGTGGAAAAAAAAAGAAGGAGACACTGTATACCGTCATGATTTTTTTCAGCAAGTATAAGCTAATGTTACTGCGAGGTGTGTAATCTTTTCCTTACGTACGTTGTTTAATTATATATATTTTTAAAATCATCATTGCGTGCAAAATTACGAGCAATATTAAAGTAGCACTTAAAGTATTACGTGACTTTATGTAGTAACTTTATGTCTATTTCATTTTGACACCGCACTGACGAGTAAAGAAAACATAACATTATAATCTTACACTTGAGAAGTTGAGACATAGTCATAACGCCCTTAATAATTTCAATCGTTTCAAGAAATATATAGCACAGTTTTTTCAATGAAGTTTTCATTGTCAATGATAAAGATAATGACGGCGCTTTCGGATTCATAGGTCCATCCAAGACCCCCACCCCCACCATATAAAGTAAAATATTATAAAATAAAAAAGCAGAATGAATGTGTTTTTCAAAAGATGCAAAATATATAAAGACGACGATGGTGGCGTACATTCAAACCATGGCAATATATCGTTTGATGTCAGATGTCGTTTGGATTCCTCGTTTTTATGAAATTGTAGCTACAAGTATCAAAGTCGATATTTATATTGTCGTATTATCGCCTGATATTATTGCCACAAGCTAAGACTATCAATTTTTACTTGCCAAATTATGCTTCAGAAAGAAATGTTCCAACAAATTCTTTTCACATTATTATCATTTTGAGTTTTCCTGAGTAATCAGGGTTCTTTTTTAATTAATGATATTACAATGTAATCTAGCGATAGTTTGATTCTGAATAATACCGGAAATCTTGCACCAACAGTTTATTCCGCTATTCTTATTTATAATTGTTGCCAAAAGTATGTGCCGATCGGCACACTTAGCAAATAAAGAGTTAAGTTTGATGTCTGCAAAATGTATAACAGCTACAGCCCTTACTTTGACATGTGAAATACAATTGTACATACATAAGCCTGACAATTTGGCCAGTTATTGAGAGGGACTGCAGCCCTCTCAGCTACCGCCTCATATGCTTATGTCTCTTGAACTAAATGGAGAGAATCTGTCTTTATTTGACATGTGAAATACTATTTTACATATCTAAACCTAAAAATTGTGCCTATTCTTAACAATGGCCCAATTTCCTTTTTGTCAAGCTTTTAAAAAATACTTGAACGTATTGTCGATAATGCCTTGGCTCATCGTAAACGGATAATTGACGTCCTGAAACTACATTGTCATGGTGTTAGAGGAATAGCCTTAAATTGGTTTGAGAGCTACTTGTCAAACAGGAAACAGTATACTTCATATGATCATGTTGATTCTGAAGTATTAGATATTAAATGTCGAGTCATACAGGGCTCAGTATTAGGCCTGCTCTTGTTTTTAGTTTATATCAATGATATTATTACAATATGTAATGTTTGCTGATGGCACAAATATATTACTCTCTCATCCAAATTTCAATGTTCTCATCAACACTCTGAACTCAGAACTGCCGGAACTTGCCAAATTGTTTCGATGTACAGTAATATACTTCTTTGAATTTTAAGAAAATAGCTATATTTACTCTAGATCCCATAATAAACCAGTACAATTTGATATACAATTGCAAATAGATGATACTGCAATGGAACAGAAGACCGATACTAAATTCCTTGAATATATTGACGAACTTTTGAATTATTCTGACCATGCCAATTGTTATTATATCCAAAACCATTTCACGCAATCGTGTTTTGTCTATATTGAAATACATGCATTACCCATTAAACCTGTTACTCATACTGTATAATGTTAATACCGTATATAACATAATGCAATTTAATATGGTTGAACTCTAAGTGTTTCAACGACTCAATCTTAGACATTCAAAAAAGGCAAAACGAATTGTACTGGTTCTCGCTACAGAGATCACACCCTTGTTTTTTTAATAGAATACCGCTACGGCACATAAATGTATCATACATAGCAGCCCAGACGTATGGAAATTTCCGCCTTTGGATCAAATGAATATTCACTCAAAGTTTCAATGTATAATGATTTTATTATGTAATCAGAACTGACAACAAAATAATTAAAAATCAAATTGAATTATTGAATACAATACATTGCATGAAATAAACATTCATAACAGTACCTCCGGTAACAAAGGCTAAGTTGTGAAAGTGAAAAACTAACTGACGGAAGATGTATCGTAACCGAACTTTGCTGGAATTTTGCGGGGCACTTTATTTTTAAATGGGTGATCTGACGCTTTCTTTGAAAGACCAACTTAACATATCACCCCCTCCCTTCACTGTAAAATATACAAAAATACAATAAACAGTTGGTCTTATAGAGATTGCCTAAGTAAATAGAATAACTGAGGTGAGAACTTAATTTACGATGAGTTTATTCCCTTCACCATGAAAGAAAAGAAAACAGGTTTTACACACCGCATTTACTAAATAATATGTCAATTATATGGTACAGTAACTGTATGACTATACTCGCCTGTGCAAGTAAGCAAAGTATAACGCAAAGATCTAAACAACTCGTATTGCATCACGTGCATAAAATATATCATACTAGGTCGAATCATTATATTCGATCCAACTTCGATCTTGTTACTGACGTACATGATTATGATACAAGAAATAGCCGATTCAACTTTAACTTACCAGAAAGAGTAGGTAATATTGGAAATTCGTTTTATTACAATGCCATAAAACATTGGAACTCCCTTCCCAATGGTGTAAAGGAAATAGAAAACTAAGCTCATTTTAAGAGGAAATTAAAGGAATACCTAATACTTGACAGTCAGAGAAGAGAAGTGAATGACATGTTATGTGATTGAAATTTGTATTCTTCTGCCGGTTCATACTTTTTCATTTTGTATATACTTATGTTTTCGTACGTTATAGAAATTCTACAAATTCATCATTATTTTCCTCTTCTTCCTCCTCCTCTTTTTCCTTTTCTCCTTCTTCTTTTCTTTGTTTACTTATTATCATTTCTATCATCAGTTTAATGTTGTTTGTATTATCATTATTTTTAATAATTAATTCTTTTATTTTCTTATCTGTCTGTAAATATTACTATTTTAACCTATTAAATTTATACAATCATGTCAGTAAGGGACCCCACTGGAAAGAAGCTCTCGAGCTTTCGTGGGTTATCCTGTTTAAGCTGACTTATTTTTGATCTGTTATTATTGTTTATTGTTGTATGTTGGAATCTTGTCGAATAAAAATCAATCAATCAATCAATCAACGTGATTAGCCCTCCCAGACTGGCAAAGTGAAAGGGGTGGAATTTTCCTTATTATTGGTATTATTTTTATCTAATTATTCACTTTTTGCTCTTGAAAATAATGAGGGAAGGGGCCCCACCAATCCACCTTTTGGGCTTTAATTACTCTCATTAAAAAAAACGAATTAAATTGAATTAAGGATTGGATATGCACACATACATGTACGTGAAAAGTGCCATTAGTGGGAGCATAACAGAGGACCAATCAAAATTCCGACCACATCCAGAATATGGTATGGTTTCAGGGAAAGGCTGATTCTGTTTCTCTTCCATTGATAAGGGTCTTGTTGTCAGTGTCAGTTTAGTAGGAATCTCATGGACTGGCGGGACTGGACTATTGTCTTGTTCAATCCGGGGATATTTGTATTGGTCGCATGACGTTTGGGTAAGAGTGTCCCATTCCTTGATATCATGAGAACAACACGATACAGGGATATCTACATGCAAGAGCCAAAATATTCGTCTATTCACTATTTGTGTATTAACGCCATCGTTTTGATACGGTATCTTGTCGCCGTTTTGAAAGCAAGTGAGGGTTGAATTACCATTTCCAGGTTTGGAATGACAATGCACCTCGTAAAAATTCCACATTTTTTCACTGGGCATTAAAAAGCAAACTGCTGGACCAGGAGGGATAAATATTAGGACAACTCTTTTCATCAAATGATACTCTGGTGTCTCCCCTTGGATAATGAGGAGAACAATATATGTCCCCTGATCTTCGACGGACACAGATACAATGTTGATTTCGACGGACATAGAACTGCCCTCTTCAAAATACTCTACCCTAAATCTTTCGGCCTGATCGGGTGACATAAGTCCTTCTGGGTCGAAAGTTCCATCAATGTAAAATGGGCGGTCTTTCTCCTCGAACTTGACAGTGTAGTACTTGGTCGCAGACTGCTGTTCGTTTCTGCATGCAAACGGAATAACCCCATCTGAACCAACAGTAAGGGTTAAGGTTGAATCAGGCTCGGTGTTGACCGGGAGTGCTCCAACCAGCAGAACTTGAACACAGAAGACTATTGAAAGTTGGATCATCACAGGGTACGAAAATTTCCCTCCAACTGGTCGCTTCTGCATAAGTGCAGATGAAGAAGGAAATCAAGAGAAAAGGTCCTTAAATACATTTTTGAACCCTTGAGCATGTTTCATTAAAGAAAACGTCATAATTTACTACTCCATTTTTTTGAAATACAGACTTCTATTTTTTTCATAAAGTATATTGGATCCATCCTATACGATGTGTTTCAGTGACAGTGGGCGTACCGAGCATGAAGTCAAAGTCGACATCCTACAAGCCCGGAAAATGATATAGAACACTGTTTATCAACCAAAACAAGAAAACTTTTTTTATTTTTTTATTGGGGGGGGGGGGGGCCATGGGTTTCGCTCCCTCCCGTAAACACCAATGCAATATTATACAAATTGAATCATATTATTAGACACTCCTATTGTATCAAAATCTAAAACAAAAGGGGAAAGGGAGTAGACTTGGACATACAAAGTTAGTAACGAGAGAAACAGCCTGGCCAAATTTTATCAAGTATTCAATGTCCGTAAATTGGCAATAAGTAGAATTTTGATGTAATCTATATACTTAGAAAAAAAGAAGAAGTTTATTTATACCCAAAAGACGTAACGTAGGTTCCTCATGACCTGTTTTATCTGTCCTAGAGCTTGCAGCCTGAATGTGATGACGTTCTGTGAAACAATGTTATGGTTGATTATTCGATAATGAATGTATACACATATTTAGTACATGTTTCATTTTGCTACACGAACAATACAAAAAAGCTCTGTACAATGTTGAGCACTAACAGAAGAAGAAAAACGAAAACAACTGGAAAGATTAAAGCAAATAAATGTATCCAAGTATCCCTATTTTTCTTTAAATGAACTTTTGTACAGTACAATTCCCGCTATATTTCTATGCGCAATGTATTAATGAATATGCAGAATTTTATTAAAGAAAAAAAAAGTTAATTCCTAATTATCTCATTACATCAAAACATAATATTCTGAACCAATGTGAACGAATTTGGCCTATATTCATCTGAGTCTATCACGTCTATAGTTCCTACGACCGGATTTTGAATGTGATTATTATGCAGGTATATAGAATGACGATACGTTTCATGGTTGACATCTTTCCCCTACCCATGTCATTAGAAAAAAATGACAACAGTTGTGTCCTCCCTTTTTTCAGACGCAATATTGCGATGAAATATGAACACTGTCGTTTTATTTTAGCATAATGTGTGATCTATCCGAAAAAAATGTAATGATCTATATTATAGTACGAGCTATTACTGAGAAGAGACGAGTCGAAGTAATCAGTACATAATAGTAAGTGAAACATACATTCAATTCTCTGATTCCATTCTGCGGAGGTGGTGGAGCTTGGCCGAAATCCGGGATTGGTGGTACCTAACGAACACAGACACGATTTAAAATATAGAGTGACTATATTAAACTTGCCCTTAAATTCTGAAATACAGCTGAATTATATAGTGAACTATGCTTTCACTTATAAATTACTATTTATCTTTTCCTTTTCTCTCACCTCTAATTCTCTATCCTTTCTATTGTTCAGTCTGTCTACAGTTTTCTCTCTTTTCTGCACAGTCTCGTAATGTTCTGCTAATCACATTCACGATTGCTTATAGATACCGTAAAACATTATGCTGTTGCACATTATCGTGTATTAGGGCTCAAATAGTCGTAAGCAGCTTCATTTGTTTTTTGTTCTTTTTGACTTCAGTATATTTACATATGAAATATTACATATTTAACATGTATACATTTCCATGCTACATTTTTTGTGCAGATACCAAGTTTAAAAAAATCCTACTTGGTATCTTTGAAATGCTTCAGGGCTGTGGCTTCAGATTAAGTCAAAATATTCAATACTGTGGGTTTAATTAATTTTAATCGAGTATCAATATTGGTATACATTACTATTAAAATAACCGAAACAAATGATCAAAGTGAATAAGACTAACAATTATCTTACATTGTTCAATTACTTTAATTTTCTATGAGAATGAGGAAATAAAACACCAATTAATAACATTGAGGATGTTCATTTACCTCCAGGTTGTAAGATACAATCAACTCCACCAATGTAGAAACATTTGTTTCCTGAAGACGGATGTTTCCCGACTTTACAATGTGACATATGACAAAAAGAATAAACAAATATGTAATTTTATGTATTTTTTTAACTGATGAAACTCTGGATGTTCTTTAATAAATTTTCAGGCAATCAAAAAAGAGAGCAAAATTTGAATACGTTAATATATATATATATATATATATATATATATATATATATATAAATCGCTAAGAGACATTGGCGATGTATTAAGGGGTATAATATAATTATTATTATCAAAATTAATTAAATTAAATTAAATTAATTAATTTTATAAATATAATTGATGTTACTATTATAATTAATTATATTATCATTATTATCATCATTATCATTACTATTATTAATACTATTTTTAATGTCATTAATATCATTAATGTCATTAATATTACAAGTACGTTTTAGTACAAACAATACAAATAAAAATAGAATGTGATTGAAATCGGACATTACCTCAGATTGAAAAGTGTCTAACAACGCCAACAAGGTCGTCTGCGCTTGTTCCGAAGGACGGTAGTTTCCCGACTTTGATAGAGTATAAATTATGGAGAAAAACAAATAGATTAATTACCAAGCCTGACGACCTTTTAATGTACAAGGACAGGCAGATAGAATGGGCTCTATTGAAGGTAAGTATTTTCAATTATTTACCTTTCCTTAAATAACAAGTGATTGTAACCTTTCAACTTACGGTTCCCTAACATATCAACATCAAATTACAACCAGCCTTGATCTTGATAATAATGAATAAAGATTGAAATGGGTTTCGATACGGGTGGATGCAAAATAGAGGCCGTCAGCAAAAGGATTCAATTTTTGACAACGTTTGAATATTTTTCTTTAAACAATCATTTGTTTTGCAAATTTCGCATTCATTAACAGATGACAATGGAAATGTCATTTATTCTTCAAGCAAGACAGTAACAAATATATATAACTGCTTTATTACAAGTCTTTTAGACACGATTTAAACAATTAGACATGAATTACCTCGTAATGGAAGTTCGGTGTCATGAGTTCGAAAAAGTAGTCTTCTTCGTTGATACTTCCCATTTCTACGGCTACAAATGTTTCCCTCAACTTGTTAACCAGCATCTAAAGTTTATAAACGAAAATATTTATGTTTAGATATTTTGTGATTTTGTATCACTTCTCTTAGGCAATGTTTGGATTAGAAATCTGAAAACAGTAAATGTCACTTAAAAAAGCACATGACTTTATTCCCTGCGCATGATACTCATTGTAACATAACATATTAGTATTAAGCATGTGAAGAGTGGGGGCGGCAATCCTGGGTTAAGGGAGGGGGCACTCCGGAATGTGACAGGTGGGAACCCCCCAATGCAATATATACCAAGTAGTCAAGTAGTGCTATAGCACCGTGCTATTGCTCTGAAAGTCGTCTAAAATGCAAAGTGTCACTAAAGAAATCTGACACTCGGTCGCTACGCTCCCTCATTGTCTGAATGATGATCTAACGCTGCCTAACCCCCATCACGAAAAAATGTGTAGATAGTAAGATAATATTTGTTTTTCAAGAGTGATCAGAATTGTTCTTTTTTAAAGCAAAATATGGTAAATCGGGAGGGAAGAGGGCAATATATCCTTACAAACCCATCTGTTTCTTATGAACTTTCCCGAATTTCGCCCCGATCATCACTACAAGAAATCACCACCCCTGGACATGTGTATTTGGGCGGATAGGGCTAAAAGTGCTTTAACATATCCTTAACAATAACAAAGCTCTCTTGAATTCAAAATATTATTCATAATTTGTTTATATCGGAATTATTTTCAAATTACTCAAACCAAGAATTGAACGAGAAAAACATTTTCTTTGGTTGGAGTAAACTTTGAGGTGAGACAAAAATATAAGTCTTACCGCAGTATCATCCGATGTAACTATGTCTATGGCACCAGGTAAACCTCCGAACTTTTGTGAAGAATACATTCAGATGAAAGAGAAAAACTCTGATTTACTTACATCAGGATTTTATTAATGTTTGTATTTTATTCATGAAAAACGAAAACAAGCTCTGACTATGACCCCAAAAATATTTATTTATTCATAAAAAACGATTTATAAAAAATGACGCCATTTCGTACCTTAAACAAATAGAATACAAACCTTAATAGGCATAATTGAAACAATTTTGCTTTGCTTTTATAGGGTCCACTCTGTTCTATGCAAGAAATGAAATGATAGGCTTATCTAAATAAAAAATAAAATAAAAAGTTATATCTTCTACAACTTAAGTTTGGAATGCTTTGCCATATCGTTATTTTATTCATTTCTCTATGATTTATTCAATTATTTTTGTTATTTAAACAGGTTAGCTCTCTCAGTACTAACAACTTTGTTTCTTCCGAGAGGCTCTGTTACACTGAATTAAAAATACAAATACAAAGGGAATTTAACAAAACTTGAATAAGTTTATGAGGTAAATACTGTAATAGGTTAACAAAAAAACTACTTAACGAATTCGAAAAAGGACTAACCTGGTGCTGAAAACTTATAGTAATTAACTTCAGATGATATTCTTCAGCCAAGATATTTCCATCTTCTGCATTTTCTAGAGTAGATTGTGATGCGTATATCATCTCCTTGGAATGTTAAGAAAAGATTAGAAACGTTTGGATTATTCTAAATAATTCAGCATCAACCGTTTCCTCAAACAAAACACACACATAGGACACACACAACTCATCAGAAATGGAAAAATATTTTCTTAATCTAGGGTGTTTTTATTGTTGTGGGCAAGTCCATAAATGCAATATTTTCTTCTTATGTTTCGTTAATCGCGTATGAAGGACTTTTGTTGAAACACCGCCTAGTTTCTATAAAGCAATACTTGGTTTCATAATTAAATTGCGAAACCGATACTCCAATAATCATTCGATTTTATATTTATAACGCAAGAAAGGTTTTGCAATTACTCACCTCCATTCCGATTGTTTCAGTTTGGTTATCCTCACCTTCCTGTCCCACATGTAGCTCTGGTCCTTCTGGCATAGTGCTATCTTCCATGTAGGAAAAACGGGCAGAACAAAAACAGAAAAAGAGACACGAAAAACAAAGACAAGACCTAGTGTTAATTTGGGCCCGTTATTGATGTAACTCGATATTTCTGGGAAGGAGTTAAACGTAGTTTGTATAATTGTGTGTCTTTGATATATTAGCAAACCTACATGTATATAGGCTATAAACATGCTAATTATTTCTTCTATATACGTATATTGCTCATCAATAGGCTTTCTAAGGTAATTCGCTAAAGTTCTAGAAGAAGATCTTCAAGTATCTAAAGGTTTTGAAATGAAACAACATTCATTAATAATTTATTTTCTCAAAATTTGATCATTGATTTGCTAAATTAAGAAAGGAACATGAATATAAATGAAATGAGTCTTTATTAACAAACATTACACTGTGATGAGCATGGGTGTCGATCCCGGGGGGATTGGGGGGGGGGGATATGTCCCCCCCCCCCCCAATATTTCAGGTGGGGGGGGGGATTGCCTGTACAATCATCCCCCCCCCCCC